AAAAGAAGTTATTTAAATAATGCAAAGCTCAATCATTTTTCTTAATAATTTAGATAAGAAATGCACCAAGAGTGAGTATCGTGAACAATATTCAGATAAGGAACTTAGAATCCTGATCGTAAACTGTTAAATTTTAGTTGTCTGAGCTTGTTCTCACAATTTGATCATACTGGCAGGAAGACCTATGGAAGCGCATCTTGTCCGTAGTCCATAGTATGAATGATAATTTCCAGAGTCTGACCCGAGGCTTGGTACATTTACAGTCGGAAGGGATGGCAACCAAAATATAGGCCATAGCATCGTGGCCATGATATCTGTGTTAAATTTTAGTTATTACGTTTTGAGATGAAGCTTATTAGTATGTGCTTAGTAATCAAATAAAACTTTTGTTATCCTTTTATATGAATGGGAGATATCGCATTCAGATCATTAGTTGAGGCATAGCTTACCAAGCAAACGATCAAGCCAAAATGAAGTAGACATCATTGAAGAAAATGAAATGTAATGGAAGCATTAAGCCTACTCATATAAACCCTTCATTACCTTGGGCGACAGGATGATAGCAACTCTTGCCATTATCATTGTCGTAATACTTACAATGCGTATCAAAGATATCACAATATAAGGCTAAAAACCTTTGCATTGATTATCAGAACTTAAAAAAATACCAATTAAGGATGATGACTAAACAGCCAAGTTACCTTCATCTGCGACGTCCATAACACCATTTAGCAGAACTCCATGGCCAGACATGTTCGCTTCAGCCTCTTCATCTAGATCAAACATTGTTCGTGCACGACTACCTGCAGTACCTGTGCCTGGGACACTTGATCCTGATGTAGTTGTGATAGAACACACGGTTCCAGCGCCAGTGTTGGCAAGTGTATCCGTCGACGGCTGCCCGTTAGCTAACAAACCAAACGAACTACCGGCAGCTCCAGTGACACATACCTGACCAGGAGCAGAAGCTACGGCAGCGGCTGCTGCAGCTGCCGCCGCAGCTGCTGCAGCAGCGGATGAGGATCGTGTAGAACGGTTTCCGGCAGAACCCCCGCTTCCCCCGGGTCCAGAGACGTGAACTAGCCGGTTTGGTGCCTCAGGGTCATCAAAGTCGCGTGAAAGGTCACCACTAGTAGAATCATCCTCTTCCTGGAGAAAGTAAAATAACACATACCAGAGGTAATGGATAAGTTTACACACAAAGACACACATTCGTTATCTGGTTAACAACAATAAATCATTAATACAACTATCTCCTGTTTACTGGTCTTGCAAATAACCTTGTTTATCTCGAGTTTGCTGAAGCAATAAGCAAGGTTATCTT